CCCCCCCCCCCCCCCCCCCCCCCCCAATCAGCTGCTGAGGATGAGGGTAACAATACCCGTGAAAATAACATGCACCTTTTATCCCCAAAAGAGGCCCCTTCACAAAGGGTTCAGGTCTGCTTCATTTCACGCAAGTCCAAAGTGACCTTCATTGGTGAATTCAAACTCGCCAATATTACCGTCTATTCAGCAGGGAATTGGAGGAATTATTGCGACGTTGGGAATGTTGTGGCTATAAAATGTCAGCAAGCAAGAATGCGGCCGCATAAGATTCATGCATCGCTAGCCGCCTCTGCTGTCCTGGGTACGACCGGCTCTGCCGTCCTGGGTACGACCGGCTCTGCCGTCCTGGGTACGGCCGGCTCTGCCGTCCTGGGTACAGCCGCCTCTGCTGTCCTGGGTACGACCGGCTCTGCTGCGTACCACTTTCTGCAGCTTTAAGCACTTACACCGCGACAGGGAGTAGGCGACAGCTCAATATAAAGTCATCAGATTTACAGCTCAATATGTTTCCCCCGTAAACGGATTGGAAACCAAACAAAGAAGATTAATGGTGATGTTACATGATGCCGAACTGCCACCTTGGGCTCTTGAGATCTTGTGTATTGAGGAAAAAATGCTACAACCTTGCAATTTGAGCTCGGAACATATTGCTGAATGAATGAAATTATTCCTCGGTCCGTTACTTCAATGCGATGTAGCTTTGATTTAAGCACATTTCTAGACAGCACCTATACTGTCACATTTCTCATTCAAAATATCCGCCTCGGGTAGTCTTTACAGTGCTATGGTTAGGAAGCCCAGGTACCCAGAGCATGCTGGGAAATGTGTGCAATTTTCTGCTAGCATATTGTGCAAGATGTGCAATGTCAAAATATTCATTCGTTCGTGCATTTTTGGAATTTGTAGTTGTATTAAAACTAAGGTAAAATTGTAGCGAAAGATTAATTCTAAATGTGATATATCAAAATGTAATCAGAACTCCTGTCTCTCCTTAAAGTATCATGTATCTTTCTGTTGCCTGTATGTACATATATTTGCAAAAGAAAGTCAGTCAGCAGGTATTTGTTTTTATTTGTATTCCGTACATGATAGGTTGTTAGTGGAAGCATTTGACTAAGGCATTTTGATACAGTTGTACATCAAACACAGTTGTGTTTAATAGGCAAATTGTGGTGACACATTCAAAGCACATTATCCCCCCCCCCTGGCAGGACACTGGCTGACACAGACCTCACTCGCGCACCGTCGCACACTCACCATGCTCACTGCTCAGTTAGCAAACATCACATAGACCTTAAATGCCATGATTCGCAGCCATTCTGTATCTTTGCAGGCAACCTCGCGGGCTCAGTTGTACGTTTACGTTTCTGTCGACATGGAGCACCTCAGTTTTTAGCACACGTGTGAACTGGATTCTCAGACAGCTTTTTTTTTTCTTGCTGGAGGGAGGTTTATCCCGTGTCTACAGCAGTGTTTCCCAACCCGGTCCTCGGGGACTTTCAGACAGTCCACGTTTTTGCTCCTTCCCAGACCTGCAGGGAGCAAAAACGTGGACTGTCTGACGTTTCCGGGGACCAGGTTGAGAATGATATGTCTACACGACCTCCTGCTTAATCCTTCTCTGTCTTCCTTGGCTTGTCATCCTTCGCTTCTTTCCCTTTGTCTTCTCCGGCCACTTCTCCATTCTCCTCCTTC